TTTCTTCCACTTGGACATTAATATTTAAGATCCAGTGTTTGATTTTTTATTTTTTTTAGTTATATGTTTAAACTGTGTTGATAAATCTCTATGGGTCCCTCCTAGGAGTTTATTTGTGACCCTTGTAATTTATCAATGGTCATACAAACTTTTTTTTAATGTATGTTTGGCCACCAAAGGCTTTAAACAAAGAGAAACACATTGCTTTAAACTCCCCATTCAAGGAGTCACCTTGTCCAAAGGCATATAACCCAGTTTATGAATGTTTGTTGTTCTGTTTTTCAGATGTTATCTTGTAATTATTATCCTGTATTATGCTATGAAAATGTTCTACTGAACTCTTAGATTATTTCCTTAGCTTGGCCATTGTGAGCAATGCTATAATGAATGCAGGAGTGTAGATAATCTCTTCAAGATACTGAGTTTGTTTCCTTTGTATGTATATCCAGAAGTGGGATTGCTGGATCATATGATAGCTCTACACGCAAAAAAATGAAACTGAACCCTATCTTACACCTTTACACCTCTCACAAAAATTAACTTGAAATGAATTAAAGACTTAAATGTAAGTCCAGAAATGATAAAATTCTTAGAGGAAAAGCTCCTTGACATTGGTCCTGGCGATAATTTTTTTTATATAACACCAAAAGCATAGGCAACAAAAGTGAACATAAACAAGTAGGACTACATCAAACTAAAAAGCTTCTGCATAGCAAAGGAAACAATCAACAAAATGAATAGGCAATCTATGGATTGGGAGAACACTAACAAACCATATATTTGATATGGGGGTAATACCTAAAATATGTAAGAAACTCATAGAATTCAATAGAAAAAAAAAAAGAAATCTGATTTTAAAATGGGCAAAGGACCTGAACAGACATTTTTCCAAAGAAGACATACAAACAGCCAACAGGTAAATGAAAATGTGCTCAACATCACTAATCATCAGAGAAATGCAAATCAAAACCACAATGAGATATCATCTCACACCTGTCAGGATAGCTATTATTAAAAAGACAAGAGACCTGGACAGGTAGCTCAACTGGTTAGAGCATCGTCTGGATATGCGAAGGCTGCAGGTTTGATCTCTGGTCAGGGCACATACAAGAATGAACAAATAAGTGGAAAAACACTTCTCTCTCTCTCTTCCTCTCTTTCTCTAGAATCAATAAATTAAAAAAAAAGACAAGAGACAAATGTTGCCAAGGATGTAGAGAAAAGAGAACCCTTGTTCACTGTGGATGGGAATGTACTGGTAGAGCCATTATGGAAAACAGTATAAAGATTCCTCAAAAAATTAAAAAATAGAACTAACCTTTCTTTGACTGAAGAAATTGAAACTATATTTGAAATATA